GGGGGGGGTGGGTGGTCGTCCGTGGTGGTGGGATGTGGGACGGTGTAGAGGGAGGGGGGCAGGGAGTGTTGGGGAGTTGGTCGGGGTTGGGGAAGGCCGGTGTTGATGGGTGGTTGGTGCTGGAGGGCGGCCAGTGTTGGGGGGTGTTCAGTGTTGGGTGAAGCGGGGGGGTCGGCGTTCTTCCGGTTCTCGTTTGTGCTTGGCATTTGCAGATGTTGGAGGGGGAGGGGATTCAGAAGGGGCCCCTCCATACTGGATTCAGAAGGGGCCCCTCCCTACCGTTAAAATTTTTACATGCGCGCAAACGGGGCTCAGGCATGCATGGAGGCTAGTACCGCGATTCTGGAGTAGCACTTGACCAAGGAACTCACTGAAAAGTTTCAGCGCCGAAGCTTGCTTGGTTGCCGAGTTAAAATACCCGGGCAGACGCGCACACACACTTACATACACACACACACACGCACACCACGGGTAGTAACGTTTCTACATTTGCATACATGCAACCCAGGCTGGAGCGCACCAGTGCGATCATGCTATTTCGCATTATTTCGTGCTGTAGCAAAGTCGCAGGGAACTGCAGCAGCTAGAATTGGTGATGTATTGGCCCTCGAAGTTCGGGAAGTTAACTACATAGCTACGCGGCATGTCAGTTGTAGATGTCGTTTTGGTAACCCGAGAAATAGAAGATTGTTGGTGTGCGAAAAATACCCCACTAGAAGAGTAGAATTTGAAATCTTTTAGATGCACGTGAACAGCGAACATTCCCTTAAAATTTCAACTTTCCAGCTTTTTTCATCCCCGAATTATCAATTTTCCCACCAAATTTTCCACGTGTCCGCACATGAGTTCCGAGGGGTTCTAAACAGCTGAATTTGAAACCTTTTGGTCGTGCGTAAGTAAGGAACATTACCCTAAAGCTTCAGCTTTTTAGCTTTTCCTATTTCGAGTTAGTAATTTTTTGTCGAAATTTTCACGTGCTCGAACATAAGATGTGAACGCGCATGACAGATGATATCACATTCCTGGGGTCGCACTTGGCCAGGAAGCACACTGGCAGAATTTCAGGATCAATGTTTGCGCAGTTGGCGAGTAAAAACACCCGAACAGATGAACCAAGATGCGTTTTCACCGTGCAGCAGGCGGTAAAAACGTATGCATAGAAAGCGTGTGTTATGGTGCGTGTACAAAACGCTTGCATTTCTGCGAACATGTTCATTTGGTTCACTGTATTTGCTGGGGAGCGGAAGCGCAGGAGCAGCGGCTGTTTGCCTTATCCGGTGTGAATGGGCACTTCTCAACCGTCGCAGGGTGATCAGTCGGAATTGTCGGCCACTTCTTCCATGTCAGGGACTAGCATCTCTGCGCCAATGCCAAGCACGCCTGCCAGGTGTGTCCATATTCTTCGCTGCGCCGTGAGTGTTCGAAGATAAGCCATCGGAAGGCTACTTCTAATTCTGTGGGGCAATCGCCGACAATGTGTGCATAACAAAGCTAAAATCACTGGCGGCTCGCACCAGTCGGGCCTGTGCGGTCGTGCGCTTTTTTAGTATTTCATGCTGTAGTACTGGAATCCCAGTAGCTAGAATTTGTGACATACTCGTTCTCAAAATTCAGGAAGTTAATTTTGTAACTACGTGTTACTTATACAGGGAATATTCCGTTGGAAATTTCAGCTTTCCATCTTCTGTGGTTCCCGAGTTAGCAATTTTTCCCCCAAAAACTTTCACAGGCTCGTGCGTCTGGGGGCTGAATTAGAAATCTTTAACTTGTACGTGTACTGGGAACACCTCTTAAAATCCCAGCCTCTCAGCTCTCTTTGTTTTCGAGTTAGTGATTTTCCCGCCAAAAACTTCTATGGGGCTCATATGTGAGAACCTTGCGCGGTTGGGAGATGAATATGAAATCTCTGAATTCTATGTGGACGGGGGGCATTCCCTCAAAATTTTAGCTTTTCTGGTTCCCGAGTTAGCTATTTCCCCACCGAAACCTCCATCTGCCCGTACGCGAGGCCCATAAGTGCATGAAGGTTGATGCCGCAGTCCTGAGATGTTACTTGGCCGAGGAACCCAGTGGCAAAATTTCAGCGCCGAAGCTTGCTTGGTTGCACATGTGCAAAAATGCATAAAAAGAAAAAAAAATCCGTTTCACACGATCTTGGCGTAATCTGATCCGAGAAGGGGAGAGGAGATAGGGCGAAGGATCTTTCGTCCCCCTCCCCCCTCCCCCTCTCCCCCGCTCCTCCTCCCTCCTCCCCGATCCCAACGGCACAGGCACAAATGCTGAAAAAGCCCGGAT